CCCGTTGACCAAAACAACGAGCAAAATTCTTCGACAAACTGATCCTCCACAAAACACAGAAATCCCACCTCCGACTCCTTGGCGGCGATCTCAACGACTGCCCGCGCCCAGAAGTCGATCGGCCGGAACCAAAGTCGGCGCGGCCACACTGGCCGATTCTGATGGGCAAGCTCGACTCGGCCTACACGGACTGCATCCGCTACAAGCACCCCATCACCCCATCTTTCACTCGACCTAATCCCAAATCGCAAGCGACCCAACTCCTTCTCCCGGCTTGACTACTTTCTCCTACAAAGAGCTCACCAAAAAAGGCTCGACCAGGCCCTCGACGATCTACGACTATCCAAGGATCTTTTCCGATCACCGACCGGTCTTGATCGTACTAGCTCTCTCAGACGATCTTGATGCGGCTCTCCCACAGCTCAGCCTACCTACCACATCCGACCAACTACATCGAATCAATACCACAACCTTCAAGACGGTGGAATTTCAGCGGATGATGGAAGGATGGTTGGAAGGGGCAAGCGGGGAGGATCCGTGCGAGAGCTTGAGGAGGTTCTGGAGGCGTGCAGGGACAGGGGTGGGGAGATGGCGAGGAGGCTGCATCGGGAGCGGACGGAACGGATGGAGTATTTGGTGGGGAGGGTGCAGGATCTGGAGGCGTTACCGGTATGGGGGGAGGCGGAAACGGCAGAATGGACAAGGACGTCCGAGGAACTCAAGCGGGCGGTCGAGGAGCGCGCGCGCCTACTCCGGATCCGAGCCCACGTCCCGAGATCGCTTCCGAGAACGACTGTCGCGGCCGGTCCACGCCAAGCTCGCGGCGCGGAACTCGGACTCCAAGATCACAGCACTGCGCTTGGGCAACGGGAGAGCTAACGCATGACATTGATGTCGCTCTTGACCACACGCAGGCGCATTTCCAGCGCCTCTACCACATCGAGCCTCGTGATCCGGAACGCGTCGACCGACTTCGGGAACGAACTCCTCGTGCCGATCAGGGCGGCACGGACTTGCGACGACCCGCGCTCAGATCCGCTCTTTCTGCGCCGACTCTCGGAAGCGCAGATTGATCTCCTCCAGCAACCCATCACCGAGGACGAGGTCGTGGCCGCGATCGGGACGACGCACCCGGGGCGATCGCCGGGCCCGTCGGGCGTGCCTTACGAACTCTATCAGACCGCACCGGAGGCGTGGTCCAAGGTGCTGACCAAGGCCTACAACGCGATGATCGAGCGCGGTTCACTCTCTCCCAAGCAGGCCAGGGACTCGTGCGCCTCATCTTCAAGCGCCACAAGAAAGAATGCCGATCGCGCCGAACTCTCGTCGTATCGCCCCATCACCCTGCGCGAGTGCGATTACAAGATTTTTACCAAGGTCTACGTCGCCCGATTGAACCAAATTCTGCCCGATCTCCTCCCGCCGCAGCAGCACGGCTTCGTCAAGGACCGCCGATCGGCCGACGCTGCACTACACCTTCGTCTCCTGATCGAGGAACTTGGCGCGCGCAGGACCGAGTTCCCCGCGGCCGCGCTCTTGTCTCTTGACCAATCATCCGCCTACGACCTCGTCGAGCATGACTGGATCTTTGCCATCTTCGACGCTCTGGGCGCTCCTACCACCTTTCTTCGCGTGCTGAGGATGCTCTACTCGGGTGACTCGACCTCGGCGCGCTACATCATCAATGGGTTCCTGACGGCGCCGGTGCGACTGACGTGTGGGCTCGGCCAAGGGGACCCGGCGTCATCGTCGGTCTGGGACATCGTGTTTCAGCCGTTCCTGGATGCTCTACACCGTCGAAACATCGCGCTGAATCTCTCCATACCTGCACTTCATCCGTACCCACAGAGCCGCGCCATTACATCACTTGCATTTGCCGATGACGTTGTCGTCGCCGTCGCGGGCTTGGAGTCACTCAACTTGCTCGATGACCTGGCGCTCGACTGGAGGCATGCAACGAATGGCCGGCTCAACACGGACAAGACGGTCGTCCTACCGATTGGACGTCGCTGGGACCCTGGGGAACGGCCAATCGTCGTCAAGGCCGCAGGCGAGTCGCTCGAGTGGATCGGCCTCCCCTTCGACCCCAGCGGCGACACCGAACTCGCCTACGCGAATCTCATCGAACGGCTCGAGGCGACGCTGGAAGCGGTTCAGCATCGCTGGCTCACGCACCACACCCGTGCCTTTTACGTCAATCGGTACGCCATTCCCAAGATCCTGCATTTCCTTGCAGCCGACATCCCGCCGCCCAAAGTCGTCAAGAAGCTCGATGACATGCTCGTCGATTTCGTCCGTGGGGGCAAGGGCAGGACCAGCTACGGCAGAGACATTGTGTTCACCGCCAAGAACAAGGGGGGACTCGGGGTGATAAGGATGCGGGACGTTGTGGACGCGGTTGCGGCACGGCTCTGGGACGTTCTTCTCGGCGGTTCCGGCGCGATTTGGCAAGGACTTGCGCGCGCATCACTCCAGCGAGCTCAGCCCGACCTCGACCTGGCCACCGATCTCTGGCCACATCCATCCACTCCCATCCCCAACGACCTTCATCCCCGATGGCACGCCGCACTGGGCGTTCCGAAACTTCACGACGCGCAGGTCAACCCGAGGGCCTTGACCACCGCGAACTTGCTCGCGCTGCCCACCCTGCTCGGCAGCCTCCACACCCCCATCAGAGGGAGACAGACCATCGACGCGGTTCATGTACCTGACTACCTTCGTCTCCAGGGCTACCCGAAGGTGGCGGATCTCTATCGACGCGAGTTGTATGCGGGTGGGGGGTTTCACCTCTGGACGCCGCCGGCGGATGTGCTCGGCGACAACAGCGAGTACGATCGACGCGGGCTCCCGCAGCGACTGGCAATCGCGGCCTGGTACCGGTTCACTGTCGATCGACACAAGAACACCCCCTTGGCGGCGGCGGTGGCGGCGGGACGACTCAACGTGCCTCCCCGGATCGGCACCAGCGCACCACTCGAGGCGATCATCCCCAAGCCCGTGGCCCGCTTCGCAATGGAGCAGCGCCTTCCGGACCCGGTGCTTCCACAACAGGCGAGCCAGTATACGCTGCTGAACATGGCTCGCCCCTACACAGTCCGTCGCATCCGCCGGGTCCTGAACGCGAAGGCATTTACCAACATGCTCGGGCTCAAGGGACCACCGCAGCCGGACGACCTCAGGAGCTTCTGGAAGGCAGTCAACTCGAAGGCACTGACGGCGAGGGAGAGGGAAGTTTGGTTCAAGCTGATCCTCCGCTTCACCCCGACGCGCAAACTCCAGCACGAGCAAAAGCACGACACTTCTCCCGCGTGCCTCGTGTGCGAAGCGCCGGTGGACGACACCGATCACTACTTCTTCGGCTGCGTCGACTCGCGGAACATCTGGACCGCGGCAAGGGGCGTGCTCTGCGACGCGCTCGGATGCGACACGATCGAGGACGCCGAGTACACGACACTACAACGACTCTTTGGCCTCCCCAAGCTCAAGGCCAAGCTCAGCGAACAGGAAGGCGCAGGCAGGACGATCGAGATCTTCACGGGGATGGTCTTGGAGATGATCAGCAGTGGGAGATGGAGGATGCAGAAGCACGGGACGAGGATGGAAAGCCTGGAGCGGAGGAGGGTGGTACTGGAGGAGAGGATGAAGTTGAGGGCGGGGGGAGCAAGGGGCGGGCGAGGGCAGTAGAGGCTGGGTTCGATTTCCCCCCACCCGATCCCACACTCACACACCCCACATCACACATCCTCTTACAAAAACTGTATACTAAATATATTTTCTTCATCTTTCTTTCTTTTATTACAGGTCTGCCTCCGTTGCTCATGGACCGGCTCGCGATTTGGGATTGACTCGACGGTGGCTCGCGCTCTTTGGCTTCGGGGTTCTGAGTCAAGGGAGGGATCAGCAGACACAGGCAGAAAGTCGGCTTTGAGGGGCCAGGGACTGCTGAGGTGGAGGTTTTGAGGGGCCTCCACCGCGTCTTGTTGTGACCGAGCATAGACTTGGGGACTTCGCGGGTCAGGGTAGCTGCGCAGTCGCTCTCCTGTCTTTGTCTCGACCGAGTTGGGAAGTGGGTGCGGGGTGGGCCTCTTGTCGTTAGTACGCCAGTTCTTTTTCATTTTCTCTCTTTCTCTTCTCTCTCTCATTCGTCTCCTGGGGGGGAGCAACCGCTTGGCTGGGGCACTTGAATCCGAAGTATCGGATTGGTGGACTTGGCCCGTTTCTCGCATCTTGCGGGCGGTTTGTGTTATCATCGTCGACTTCCATCTAGTTTTTCCGTAGGCCAATCAGGGGGAACAGGAATTGGGGGCAATATGATGAACGGTTTCTACAAAAAAAAAAATGCAATTTATGAGCCCCAAAAAACAAAAAAAAAAAGGATTCCACACACAAGTGAGTTTCTGTGGTGTAGAGTGAGTAGTTGACCTCCAAGCCCGTTAAGCTTTACAGGTCAACACAAACACGCGATGCCGGATCCGCCCGGCGCCGATGCGCCCCCGCCCGAGGACCTATTGGGTGGTAATGGCGCGAGTGATTCATCACTCAACACGCAAACGCGTGAAGCGGTCACTGGAGGAACCGCGAATCCTCCAGCTTGGTCGCCCGAGGCAACTCAGGTCCGGTTGGACCATGAGAAGCTGATGAAGAAGACCTTCCAAGTGCTCGGGATTGTTCCCTCCAGCAAGTCGACCCGCCGACTGATGGTCCTGATGCACGACGCCTCGACCCCGCCTTCGCAGGCGCCAGCGCTCGCACGAGCCGCCCAAAGAGCGGTGCGAAACGACGCAGCCCCGGCCTCCAATGTGATTCGAGTCATTATGGATGGTCCTGGATCACCCAGAGGTCCTGTACAGACCGCGCTGCGCAAGCACTTTGGATTGGCCGAGACGCCGTTCATGTTCGCGCGGCCCGAGGGCGTCGTGCTTGACCCCGAGGTCGAGAAGCTTTTCTCGAAATGCGTGAAGCTGAACCCGATTGTGACGAAAGCCACGAAGAGGTTCCCGATCGCTCGTCACATGTACGAGCTTGTATTCGAATCCGAGCAAGCTTGTCTTGAAGCCGCTTCAGTGGGCCCATTCCCCTACCACGGCAAGGAGATGGTTACCGAGCTCCCCAGCGCCTCTCCCCTTAACCACGTCGTGCAGGTGCGATTCACCTTGCCCTCCTCCTCCAGCGCGATCCCCGCTTCCGTGCTCCGAAAATCTCTCGATGATGCTATCACCCTTTCGTTCGGCCGCGCAGGTCGCACGCAAGGTTATACCCTGATGCAATTACAGCGGGGCCTCGCGGTCGATCCGAATGGCGATCCGATGGCCATGACCGAAGACGGGTTCCACTGCGCGTACCTTCGCTTACATGCTGATCTTTTCCAAGGCTCCATCGAGACGCAGAAGGGTGCGCTCAACGCCGCTTTGCCACAAGAGATCGAGATCCTGGGCGCCAAGTACGGCTTGCGACACGAATTCGAGACGCACTACTGCGCGGTGTGCGATCGCGCCGGACACCAGTGGGGCGCTTGCAGGAAGCCGGTTTCGACTCCGGCCACCGCCGCCCCTGTTCCGGGGGCCTCGACCTCGACTTCGACTTCGACCACCGGCTTCCGAGTTGCTGGAAAGAATGGGAAGCACGGTGGGCCTGCCGCATTGAACTCTCGTGTCTCTGGCGCGAACATGATCCAGCTGGGACCTCGTGCTAACCCCGCAGGTGCAGTAACCGCCAACAAGGACGACGCGAACGACGGCGACGACGAGTCGGTCGTTTCGACCGAACCGGAGGGCGGTGACACTGGGGAAGAGACGTCGACGCGTGCGACCCTGGGCTCAACAAAGGAGACGCAGACGACGACGGCGGCGCCCGTTTCGACCCCGACCTCTCCTTCGCCTTTGTCCGGTGGCACGTCGGGATCATCGGCAACCTCGACAACCTCGATAGCCTCGACGAGTCCTCGACGCCTTCATTCGAGCTCGGCACCCGGCAACCGACGTGTCACCCGGGCGGGATCCGCCATGATCCTCGGTGCATCAGGGGGTGATGGCTCAGGGGGCAACAGTTCAGGGGGTCACAGGTCCGAGGTGACCGAATTCGAGGGGGGCGGCGCTGAACTGATTTAATCATGATTGAGTCACTCACCGTGTTGACGTTCAACGTCCGATCGATGAAGAACGCAGTCAACCAAGTCAAAATCATCCGTTATCTCAAAACCCTTCGGCCGGCCCCTGCGGCCATCCTCCTGCAAGAGCACCACCTCAGCTACAACGCGTCGCGCGAAGGCTTCGAGAGTGCTTGGCCGGGGGCTTGTATTCGTTTCACTCCTCATGTCCTTACCCTCATACCCGATGGCTCACCTTTGGCGGGCCATCTCCTTTCCTCTACCCCGGTCGTCTTTGCAGGAGCTCCTCGTTTCGACGGTCGGATTCTGCGCTCGGTGTTTCGTCTTGAGGAGCTCGATGTCGAGATCATCAACATGTACGCGCCGGTGCAGGAGGACGATCGTCGCGACTTTTTCGGGCTTCTGCACTTCAACGCCCCGAGACCCAAGATTCTTCGGATCTTGGCCGGCGATCTCAACGATTGTCCGGATGTATCGGTCGACCGAGTGTCCATCACCGATCGCGCTTGGACTCCTGTATCGCACTGGCAGACCTTGCTGTCAAAGATCGCGTTCAAGGCACTCGACACGGTCCGACATGTCCATCCTTGCACCCCTGCATTCACTCGTCCTCACTACCGTGGTAGAGGGGAAGAGCGAAAGATTTGCTCGTGGTCGCGGATCGACTGTATTCTTGTCCAATGCAGTTGGGCGAACCGGTTGTTGAGCGCTTCTACGCTCTTCGATGCGCCCTGTTCGGACCACAGACCTGTAGTTGCGACTTTCGCTTTGCCTACATCGAACGCTGATGCCGAACCCCCCCTTTCTCTTCCCTCCACGAGCGATTTCATTTCGAGGCTCAACCCAATGGTCTTTGACGATCAAGACTTTGTCGCATCGATTCCCGGGGTCGTCGACGAGGTCTATCGAAGGCTCGAGGGGACCGCTCCGCTCGGCGACATCTATGACGCCGCTCTGCGGGCGGTTGCAGTCGCTGGCCATGCACGATACCGCTCGACTCGTGCCGACATGCGCCGACTGCGGGCCGAGAGCCAATCCGTCATGGAGGCTTTGGAGGCACGCGGTGAGCACATGAATGAGGCCGAGCGCGATGCGTATGCTCATGCCAAGTCGCGGTTGGACCAGTTGGCGGTAAAGGAGGCTCAGTGGCTGCGCATTCGTGCGCATGTGCCGTCAGTCGACTCGAGGGAAGGTCAATCGGCAAGCATTCGCACGCGCCTCAACCGCCGGAGTCGCCAGACGAGCATCGTCTCGCTGGAGGATGTGGATGGCACCGAGACCGTTGACATGCAGGAGGCGCTGGGTATTGCTTCACGGCACGCGCAGTCGCTCTTCACGCCGGACCCAGCTCGTGGCGACCCGACGAACGCACGCCGGTCCCTGCTCGACCCTATTCGCGCAGCGAAATGCTACGATGACGACCGCTCGGACCCTACGTTCGGTCGTCGGCTGCCTCGTCAAGCGAGAGTGGCGCTTGACGAGCCCTTCACCCTCCTCGAGGTTGAAGCGGCGTTGAAGAAGACGGATTCGGGGCGATCACCGGGGCCCTCGGGCATTCCGTACGAGCTCTTCAAGGCGCTGCCAACCTACTTTGCTCCCAAGCTGTTGGACTTGTTCAACTCGATTTGGGAGGGCGGCAAAATGACGGCGTCCTTGGCAGAGGGGCTGGTGCGGCTCTTGCCCAAGAATAAACCGGGGGCCAATCTGAAATCACTGGGGGCATACCGACCGATCACATTGCGCGAGACGACCTACAAGGTCCTCAGCAAGGTCTTGGTGGCGCGACTCAATGGGGTGCTCGGCGAGCTTTTGCCGCCGGCGCAACACGGTTTCATGCCATCAAGACGTTCAGCGGACGCGGGAAGTCATCTCACTCTCCTTCTCGAAAAACTCAAGTCGCTAGGCACTGATGTTTTCCCCGAGGGCGCCCTCTTGTCTTTGGATCAGCAGAGCGCGTACGATCGGGTCGATCACGCCTGGATCTTCGAGGTCTTTGAGGCCTTTGGGTTCGGTGAGCGTTTCATCTCGCTGCTACGCGCTCTCTACGATCCCGAGACTCTGGGGGTGCGCTACCTTGTCAATGGGTTCCCCACGGACTTGGTGCGGTTGCTGTGTGGTCTCGGTCAGGGGGATCCCCTCTCGTGCCCGGTTTGGAACATCACGTTCCAGCCCTTCCTCGACGCCCTCGTTCGGCGCGGGATCGCGCTCGACCTGCAGAAGGTGTGGCCAGGGGGGCCGCGTGCGCAGCTTACGCATCTGGCGTTTGCCGACGATGCTGTGGTGGTGGTGGAGTCACCGGCGGCATTGTCGAAGCTGCAAACGCTGTCGCAGACGTGGTACGAGGCTACCAACGGGAAGACCAACACGGACAAGACGCTGGTGCTACCACTCGGACCGAACTGGCTTCGGGACGAGACTGCGCAGGCGCTGCCAACGGTGCAGGAGGGGGAGAGCTTCAAGTGGTGCGGTTATGCCTTCTTTCGCCACGGTGACTCGAAACTGTTTTGGACCCATGTTCTTGACAGGATCAAGGCCAAGACCCGCGCCGCTCGAGACCGGACACTTTCGCCGAGTGGGAAGGTTTTCTATGCCAACGCTCACATCATCTCGACGGTCCTCCACGTGCTGTCCTTCGACATACCGCCTCAATGGTTCATTAAGGCGGCGGAGACGGCACTTACGGACTTTGTCTGGGGAGGAGCAGGGCGAAATACCGTCGCTCGCGATTTCGTGTTCCAGGCTCGGGAGGACGGTGGCTTGGGTTTGATTTCGATTGGCGACATCGTTCATTCGGTGGCGCTTCGATTTTGGGATGCTGTGGCGGGCTCGGACGAGGCGATCTGGGCGCCCCTAGCTCGCGAGAGCTGGAGGTCCCTCGTCGCTGCGACCCGCGATTTCAGTCCGTGGGGGTTCTTCAGCAGCACGGCTCGGGTCGAGAAGCTGTATCGCGACTCGACGCGCTGGGGGGCAGTCGTTGCAGCGGCCAGGGTCACAGTTCCAACCATCAAGTCCGAACTCCTTACGCTTCCCGAATTGCTCTCGCTTCCGCCTCGCCTCCCTTCACTCTATGCTGAAGGTGCCCAGCACGCATATGACGATGCGGACGCGGTGGCGAAGTTTGCGCAGATCGCGGACCTGTACTGGAGGGACGAAGGGAAGGGATGGGCTCTGGTTGGTCATCGACGCGGGTTCTGGCAGCACTCTAAGGAACCCGCCCTACAGCACGAGCACGTGTGGTCGCGCGTGGGTCAGTTGCTCAAGGCGAAAGCGTTGCTGCCCAAGACCGCATTGCGACCTGCTCGGATACCTCTCAAGGAGGCTCCCCGTCCTCGGTGCTTCAACTTCTTTGGGCTCTCCCGACCTTTTACGATTCGCAAGCTTCGTCGGCTTGTGAACAAGGTGCGGTTCCCAGGGAGGGAGGACCGTGTCAAGCGTTTCCCTGATGGGACTTCTCAGAGCGATAGGAAGCGCTTCTGGAGATGGCTTCATGACCGGTTCGCGTCTGCTGTCGAGCAGGACACCCACTGGCGGTTCATGTACGACGTGACGCCGACGCGCAAGAGGCAGCATACTCAGGGTCATGCCTCTTCGCCGACGTGTCTGTTCTGCGGCAACGATGCAGCGGTCATCGAGACGGTGTCCCACTACTTTTTCGAGTGCGCGTACTCGACCAGCTTCTGGGGTGGGGTGCTACGCATTCTGCTTGACAAGCTCGGCATCGAGGATACCGACGTCGATCCGTCGACGTTCACTCCGGAGCAGCTGACTATGGGGCTCCCCCTTTTGCGGGGTCGTGGGAGAACGACCTCGAAATGGATGTGGGTTCGGCTGGCCTGCGCGATCGGCTTCCAGCGGCTGCACCTGCTCCGCTGGCGCGTTCATCAGCGGTTCGAGCTGGACAACGTCGTGGCCCCTCCCTCGCTTCCCAGTGCGCTCAGAGCGTTCGAGCGAGATTTTCTCTCTCGAGCGGGTTTTGTGCCTGGGGTTCGAGATTGGGAGGTGTGATGACCGCGTTAAGTCCTTCCTTCCCATTTTCCTCCCCTCCTTTCCTCCCTTCCTTTTCGGTCAGAAGCTGACTGTCTTGAAACTTGTTGCGCAGTGGAAGGCTGCGCACCTCTCCCTCTCTCTACTTTGTGCAGTAGCGGTTTTCGTTCTTGGATGGATCGGCAAGCCGGGTCGATCGTCGTTGCGTTGGAGGCTTTGTGAAGTTCTCCCCTCTCTTTCCCCCTCTTTCTCCCTTCTCTTCCTCATCTCGTTCCTGTTGCTCGGTTGTTGACTACGCTTCAGCCACTTCTCCTTTTATTCCTAAGCCGTGTGTTGGATTCCGTCGAATAGATCGTTCGTTCGCGTTGGTCAAGATCTACGGCATGGATCGGGAAGAAAGGTCGCTCGTTTTTTTGGTCAATATCCTCGCGTCAAGGCGAGGCTCGTTTCGTTGTATTGGATCGTTTTCGCTCGGCCCTGACGGCTCAACAGCCAGCACTCGAGACTCAGCCAAGGGAGGACATCAGGCGCTGTCGGGGTGACGAGTAGCTGGGGCTTGGCTGCGGCCTGTCAGTCCCTGGGGACCTCTAGCTCTGGCTTCGACCCCCTCCCTTGGCCCCTCGGGTGTGTTCCCCTCCTCCTCCCCTCCTCTCTGTCTTAGTATTCCTGGTTCTCCGTGTTTCCAGTCGTGAATTTTTGTTTATTCTCCCCTTTTCTTTCTCTAGGCGCTCTTGCCTGGTTTTCGAGTATCTTCGCTCCCGCTCTTGGGACGTGAAGCGGCAGCAGTACTCACCGCCCGTTGGAGTCCGCGTTAGGTGCTCGGCGGGTTTTGATCTGCGCAGCGCTCTTTGCGCGCAGGGGTTTGACTTTCACCCAATTGCTTGCCGTCGTTGCTTTATAACCTCTTTTAGCTCTTTTTCTAGCGGTCCCAGCCAACCCGAAGGATTGCAATTTATGAGCCCCAGTAAAATAATAAAATAAAAATCATACAAAAAAAAAATAAAAAAAATGTCTCGACCGAGTTGGGAAGTGGCGGCAGGGTGGGCCTCTTGTCGTTAGTACGCTAGTTTTCTTTTTCTCTTTCTCTCCTCTCTCTCATTCGTCTCCTGGGGAGGAACAACCGCTTGGCTGGAGCACTTGAGTCCGAAGTATCGGATTGGTGGACTTGGCCTGTTTCTCGCATCTTGCGGGCGGTTTGTGTTATCATCGTCGACTTCCATCTAGTTTTTCCGTAGGCCAATGAGGGGGAACAAGAATTGGGGGCAATATGATGAACAGTTTCTACAAAAAAAAAAGAACAATGTTCGACGCGTGTCAAAGAATTAAGGGGCCTCAAGGAGTATGTTTCAGGAACTGAGGTGTCAATATATTGCTGTTTCATCCCACTGGTATTCCCGATTATGATTAGTTACTAGTTGTTGATATTAGTCGCCCCGCGCGTCTCGAGCCTGCCTCGCGCGCGCTCCCTTAGCGCTTATCTTCTTTCTCCAACTATCTTTACTATCTTCATCGGCTCTCGTACTTACGCACTTCGTGCCTCGGCCTCAGCTCGTGAAAGGTTATGAGCCCACCTAGCCTATCAGCGGCGGGCGACCTCGACATCCACGGTGACATGGCACCAACGCCTCCACCACCGTCATCAACGTCGTACCATACCAACGACGTCGCCTCCGTTACCTCCGTCACGCTCACTAAAGAGCAATTCGACGAGCTGATCAGGAACCAGCGCCCCGCACGGGACGACGACGCATTATCCATGCGTCAGCGCCTACCCCCAGCCAACCCTCCGGTCTTCCCCGACGACTCGAAACTTACGGAGGACAATTACGTTGACTGGGTCCCCACGATGCCGCCATGCCCGCCCTCTTGGGCTGGATTCAACGCTCGGACGAATCGAGCGACGGTCCCCGTTGCGAAGGCGGTCGTACCGACCAAACGCTCTGCACCAGGCAAGAAGGGAAAATGGGATCGTTCTGGTCCTGCCCCGAGCAACTGCCCAGCTTGTGGTCAAGGCAAACACTGGCTCGACAAGTGTCCGGAATCGCGCAAGCGAGCCAAGTACCTCGAGCTCAAAAACGCCATGAAGGAACTCCAAGGCTCATCATCGCCTGCGTCCACGTTCGTGGCCACCGAGGCAGCATCCAAGGATCAACACCTGTCCGTCGTTTCTTCTGCTACGTTTGTCAACATCGGGCCACCGGCGGAAATCCTTCTGCTAGACTCGGCGTCGGCGTGCCACGTCGTCAACGATGCGTCCTTCTTTGACGGCCCCCTTTCGCCTACCCCGCAAGTCCTGCAAGGTCTAGGGGGAACGGTGAAGGCCTCGGGAATCGGCTCGGTCAAGCTTGTCTCCGATAATGGTACCAGGTTCACCCTCAACGACGTGATCTACGCCCCCGAGAGCCCTGCCAACCTCATCTCAGTCCGGGCCTTCAACCGCAAAGGCGTTCGCATCACCTTCGAACACGGACAAGTCGAGCTCCGCACGCCGCAAGGGTGCATCGCCACAGCATCAGCCATCGCGTCCTGCGTTTACAAACTCAACGCTTCGGTCCAAGCTGCCAGCAAAGATGCGCGACACACCCTCGTTGCCACCAAGTCCAATAGGCTACCTTTACTTACCCTTCACCGGCGCTACGGCCACGCCTCTGTCCAGACACTTAAAAAACTGGCGGCCTCTGGCCAGGTGGAGGGTTTAGATTGGCCCTATAGTGACTTCGAGTGTGTAGACTTCTCATGCAACGCCTGCCTTGCCTCCAAAGCCCATCGTTTGCCTTTCCCCTCTTCGTCGTCGCATGCAGCGGAACCACTCGCATTGGAGCACTCGGACGTCTTATCTTTCCCCGAGGAATCCTTAAGCCATAAGCGATACCTCGTCACGTTCATCGACGACTTCTCGAGGAAGACTTGGGTTTACCCCATCGGGCACAAGAGCGAGGTCCTTCAGACATTCAAGGATTGGCTTCTGGAGATCGAAAACGCCACGGGTCGCAGGGTCAAAACACTTCGCTCGGACAACGGGGGCGAGTATGTCTCTACCGCTTTCAACGGCTCTACCGCTCGTCCCAGCACGATCGTGGGAGTCCCGAGTGAGACAGTAGAGCCAGGGTGCCCTCGACGATCGACCGGTTGGCTCGCTCAGCCCGACCGTTTTGCTCGGGTGTGTACGGTATGGTCAATTCGCGATGAATTCCGCGGGCCACGCAATAGCCGTTGAAAGCGGTAGAGACATACTCGCCCCCGTTGTCCGAGCGAAGTGTTTTGACCCTGCGACCCGTGGCGTTTTCGATCTCCAGAAGCCAATCCTTGAATGTCTGAAGGACCTCGCTCTTGTGCCCGATGGGGTAAACCCAAGTCTTCCTCGAGAAGTCGTCGATGAACGTGACGAGGTATCGCTTATGGCTTAAGGATTCCTCGGGGAAAGATAAGACGTCCGAGTGCTCCAATGCGAGTGGTTCCGCTGCATGCGACGACGAAGAGGGGAAAGGCAAACGATGGGCTTTGGAGGCAAGGCAGGCGTTGCATGAGAAGTCTACACACTCGAAGTCACTATAGGGCCAATCTAAACCCTCCACCTGGCCAGAGGCCGCCAGTTTTTTAAGTGTCTGGACAGAGGCGTGGCCGTAGCGCCGGTGAAGGGTAAGTAAAGGTAGCCTATTGGACTTGGTGGCAACGAGGGTGTGTCGCGCATCTTTGCTGGCAGCTTGGACCGAAGCGTTGAGTTTGTAAACGCAGGACGCGATGGCTGATGCTGTGGCGATGCACCCTTGCGGCGTGCGGAGCTCGACTTGTCCGTGTTCGAAGGTGATGCGAACGCCTTTGCGGTTGAAGGCCCGGACTGAGATGAGGTTGGCAGGGCTCTCGGGGGCGTAGATCACGTCGTTGAGGGTGAACCTGGTACCATTATCGGAGACAAGCTTGACCGAGCCGATTCCCGAGGCCTTCACCGTTCCCCCTAGACCTTGCAGGACTTGCGGGGTAGGCGAAAGGGGGCCGTCAAAGAAGGACGCATCGTTGACGACGTGGCACGCCGACGCCGAGTCTAGCAGAAGGATTTCCGCCGGTGGCCCGATGTTGACAAACGTAGCAGAAGAAACGACGGACAGGTGTTGATCCTTGGATGCTGCCTCGGTGGCCACGAACGTGGACGCAGGCGATGATGAGCCTTGGAGTTCCTTCATGGCGTTTTTGAGCTCGAGGTACTTGGCTCGCTTGCGCGATTCCGGACACTTGTCGAGCCAGTGTTTGCCTTGACCACAAGCTGGGCAGTTGCTCGGGGCAGGACCAGAACGATCCCATTTTCCCTTCTTGCCTGGTGCAGAGCGTTTGGTCGGTACGACCGCCTTCGCAACGGGGACCGTCGCTCGATTCGTCCGAGCGTTGAATCCAGCCCAAGAGGGCGGGCATGGCGGCATCGTGGGGACCCAGTCAACGTAATTGTCCTCCGTAAGTTTCGAGTCGTCGGGGAAGACCGGAGGGTTGGCTGGGGGTAGGCGCTGACGCATGGATAATGCGTCGTCGTCCCGTGCGGGGCGCTGGTTCCTGATCAGCTCGTCGAATTGCTCTTTAGTGAGCGTGACGGAGGTAACGGAGGCGACGTCGTTGGTATGGTACGACGTTGATGACGGTGGTGGAGGCGTTGGTGCCATGTCACCGTGGATGTCGAGGTCGCCCGCCGCTGATAGGCTAGGTGGGCTCATAACCTTTCACGAGCTGAGGCCGAGGCACGAAGTGCGTAAGTACGAGAGCCGATGAAGATAGTAAAGATAGTTGGAGAAAGAAGATAAGCGCTAAGGGAGCGCGCGCGAGGCAGGCTCGAGACGCGCGGGGCGACTAATATCAACAACTAGTAACTAATCATAATCGGGAATACCAGTGGGATGAAACAGCAATATATTGACAGTATGGCGGTCTCAGGGGGGTCTGAAGTCAACAGATCGAAGAAGGTTCAACTGTACAACTATGATCCAATTCGCCTGTACAACACATGTACCACCACCAACAATTCCTCCATTGATTCCCGATTCCTTCTGTAGTATCTTCAATGTTCCTTTCATTTGTCTCTGGGAGGGAGCAACCGTGGGTGGGGGGGACTTAAACTCGGATGTATCGGGTTGGTCCGTTCTGCTAGTTACAACGCATCGGGCGGCGGTTGTGGTCATCATCGTGCATACTGGGTAGCGTCTCCTTTAGTTCCGTAGGAGGGTTTCTCGTCTTGCAAATTAGCGATGGGTTCCTGTCAGAGTCAAGACCCAAACGAGGGAAATAACAATGAGAGGATAGAACGAAGAAGGAGGGAAGATCTACCCAACGTTGTACCGCACAGGATTCAACGTCGATAGCACTTTGAGTGCGCGTGCGTGGGAGATGAAGATTGGGAAGCGAAGTGCAAAGATGGAATGCTGAAGGATGATTTGGGTCAAGGTGTGGGAACACTATGGATCGAATATTACAACTGAAGAAAGAAGAAAGAGAGAGAGAGAGAGAGAGAGAGGTAACGAAGAGAAACTAAATACTCCGGTTCTATTTGCAGAGCCGGCACGTACGTTGAACGGTTTGTTCGCCAAAGTTCGCATCCGGAGGGGGAGCCGCAATGTCCCGGATGAGCAGTTCGCATCCGGAGAGGGAACCATAATGTCGCGGATGAGGGGCTCGGATGAGGGGTGGCTGCTTGAAGATCTTGACTATGACAGTTTCGTACAAAAAAAACGACTTGCATGTAGTTTCCCGTAGGCCAAACAGGGGGGACATGAACAGTGGGCAATGTGATGAACAAGTTCTACAAAAACAAAGAAGAAGAAGAAAAAATTGAGGCGGTCCCAGCCAACCCGAAGGACTGGAATTTATGAGCCCCGGTAAAATAAGAACAACAGATGACCAGTGTCTACCAAACCAACCAAAAAAATAAAATAAAATAAAATAAAAAAACCCTTCTGCTCCGTGGCATCCCGTATCTTCGCTCCCGATCCTGAAGCGGCAGCAGGCTCACCGCCGGTTGAAGTCCGACTTAGGTTTTAATGTTTTAATCCATATATTCCAGCTAGTCTTGTTTAAAGACAGAATCTAACAAATTGCTAGATCCGCTGGACCACCATATTCATGTCACGTAGGCCGTCACCTTGCTGTCACCAGGACCGATGCTCGGCGGGTTTTGGTCTGCGAGGCGCTCCTTGCGCGCAGGGGTTTGATCCCTGAAGCTCGTTAGAGCTGAAGGTTTTGTTTCGAAAAATGGGGGGGGGGGGGTTCCAGCCTCGAAAATGATGCTATTCTGAGATTTTATTGGACGAAATGGCCGAAATACCCCGCACGCGCGTGGCTGTCGAAACCCCAATAGGAGAGCCCGATATCAGCGCCGATTGGTGCGAACAATGCTCCCCCCGATGGGAGGACCCTGCCTTTGAGCGCAATAGGAGAGTCCGACTCGGTGTCAGCGCCGATCGGTTTGAACAATGCTCCCCCGGATAGGAGGACCCGGCTAAGCGCGCCGATCATTAATTCTCAATGGCCAGTGGCCACCAGCCCGGTTGCTAACCTAACCTGCCGACTCCCGAGTCGGCGCTCTCAGCACACAGCTTGGGCGTCATCAGCCTTCCCGAGTTCCCGCGCCAGAGCACACTACATACTAGCGCAGACAAGCGCAAGCTAGCGCCTGCTAGCGCACTCAGGCTGGCCTCCGTTAGCAAGTTGCCACCGCCCGGCCCTCTCCTTTACGTCTCTCTGTACTGCCTTACTCTAACTTGGACCGAGTTTCCTCGCATCTCTAAGACAGGCTATCACACAATCGCCGTCATGTCACTGCTTTCTGATCTTGTACACCTCCGCACCATCGAGGTCAGCCCACACCCACAGCGCTCAACGCCTCGAATCTCCACAACGTGTTAAGCCCGCGTCCACCACTAGCGACAGCCGATCCTCCCGCCGCACCGATCGAGCACAGTGTGTGTCTTCCGGTCCGCTCCTACGCAATAGTTGAGTGTCAGTACTCGAAGATGTGGTTGTCAAATGCAGTCTTGGGCAGCTCGTGCGCAGCAGCATCAACTTCAGCATGGATCTCCTGAAGGAGCTTTGTCGGGCGCACCACGTGGAAGGATACTCCAGCAGGAACCCGCTTGCGAAAGAGCGATTCCTACGAGTACTCGTCTGGTCGTGCGATCCAAACTGTGATGCTTGTTCAAATGAGTATGTCTTCAGAAGACAACAAGCCGCGACCCCCGTGACTCCGCCACGTCGACATTGCTTCCCCGACCACAGAGCATACGCATCAAAACCTGTTTACGTGCTTCGAGCCTGACTGAACGAGGAAGTCCAGAAGAATCGCGAGAACGTCTCAGCGACTGACTCTAAACAAACGCTGCACAGACTTCCACCGCTGCATCCCGAACCCGAACAAGAAGAACCCGGTAAAGTGACATCGCATTTTGCGCCAGTATCCGATCAGTTCAAGACCGAGCACTGTTCTGAATGGAATGATTACTTCACCGACGCTCGTTCCCGTCTCTTCTGCTGCCTGGTGTGCTCCGAGAGAGTCTTCGGGCATAAAGTACGATGGGTGCCTGAACACCGCATCAAGCGTGAGGAATCAGGGGTTTGGAAGGTATTTATCAACTCTACACTACGTACGGACCTCCGACCACCGACTTACGATTCTTCAGCTTGGCGGGGCGCACTCATCCATCCCCGACGTCTTCAGCGACCGAGCGATTTAATCGATCAGATCGCGTACTCGCCCATGAACAACACGCTTCAGTGCTCACTCTGTCCAGACTGCTTCAAACGGTTGTTCCCTACCACAGGGCCACCGACTAAGCCCCCTCGGTCGTGGAGCAACGGATTTTATCGCGCACTGGATCACGTCCCCGCTGATGTCCGAGTATGCTTCTCCAACGCGAGTCAGCTTGAGCACCTCTTCACTGCGCGCGCCAGAGCCTACAAGAGCGTGTACAAGCTAACTCGTTTCGGAGATCCCAAAGTTCAACAAGAACCTACGCGCGGAAACACCCTCATTTTCAGCCAGAACACCGCTTCGTTCACCGATGTACTGCCCATATCAGTCGAGGAACTCGCTGACAGTGTTTGCGTTTTATTCTGTGCAGGGAGCCCCAACCTTGCGGAGCTGGACAAGTGTCGACCCATGATCGTGAAGCAGAGTCGGATCCAAAAGATGCTCAGGTGGTTGATCAACGAAAGCAAGAATCCGGCGTACTCTGCCGTCTCCTTTTTTAATGGCGAAAGACTTGCACAGCTCGTTCGATGCAATTCTGGTGTGCTCAACTCTACTTCTCCAGCACCCACGGCGGTTTCAGCTTCCACTTCGGCTTCGGCTTCCGTCTCGGTTGCTCCCCAAGTGTCGGATGGACAAACCTCGGATGGAGACAGTCTCGTGCCCGACGCAGTTCTGGCGAATGTGTTTACCGCAGAGACAGTGGAACCAACATCATCGCTCTTTGAAGGCTATGCAACAGCGCATAACGACTCTGATGAACCAGTATTCGAACACGTCCATGTGCCGCCACCCGCTACCGACGAACCAGTTCACTCGTGGCAGTTCTCTGAGAAAGCTCTCCGTTATTTCAACCACTGCAAGACCAGCCCCCCCATGTCATTCCGACAGGCGACGACCCTTTGTGGGGATCTTCGGATGACTTCCTGCTCTCAAAGCTGCAAGGTGGCCACACCTCGATCCATTCGGTCTCGTCGGTGTCTGTGTCGAGCGCGACGTCAAGATTTCTCTGGAGGAGCAAGTCAAACATTGGCTCAATCTATACGACAGCGATTTTCGGTGCGACCCGTCTTTCCCGTTCATCATCTCGAATATTCTCCGCCGACGAGACGTGTTTCGCCACCTCGCTTTTCGGGTCCCCAAAGAGAAGGTGGCTCGAATCGCAGCAGCACTGCTCGAAATTTACCGCATATCGACCGTATTCTGGCGTTTCGTCCAAGCACACACGTACTTCAACCAGGCGAGACAAGCCCCACACGCTCGCTTTCAGTTCGTGCCGCATCGGATCCGGGTACATGCCAGGAACAAGCCCTCTTCATGCAAGTCTCGCGTACAATCAACTAAATTCCTGTATGGGTAAGCTGATTTAACATGTCTACCGCATCGTCATCATTAAAGCCTTGTCAGTAGAAGTCAATGTGGCCGTGCACCAGTCCGCCCGCCGCGGCTGTCAAAGCAGCGGCGCACCCGGGTCAAGCCGGCGGCGGTTCTCCCTTGTCCCCCTCTTCTCACCGACCGTCCACCGTCGCCCAAGAAAAAGCTATCACCGGTCAAGAGGTCCATTACCGTGACATTGACCTTGCAGTGCCCCTTCCAAAAAAACGTAAGTCGCTCCCTGAAGTCCCGATCTCTCAACGTCAACTGAAACCACTTCTTATAGCCAAGTTCGGTGAAAGCGCGATGTGGGTCCCCGGCGCTGACGACCACATACATACACAAAGTCGGAGTCGGACCAGACACGGACTGTGGCATGGGCGATGTCGAGTGATCTCAACTTATGCATGTACACCCTGGCTCTGGCTCGATCTCTTCTTGCCTGCAATGTTCATTAATGTTTGGCACATACTTACACGACTCATTGATGTGGATTGAACCGACTCGCCAACTTGGTGCTGCATGCCCGATCCATGGCACGTTCTTAGTTATACTAGCTGACGTTGTCAGTCGGTGTTACTCCGTCAGAGGTTCAGGGACCCGTCGCCCCCTCCGGGGGCGCGTTAATTTTCATACTCTTTCATTTTTATTTTTTTGAAACGGTCCCAGCCAAACCAAAAGACTGCGCTTTATGAGCCCCGGGAGAGCGAAAGCAACAACAACCAGACGTGGTCAGAGCTGGCAACGGACGCCAGTTCCTTGCTAGCTAGATAATGAACTCCTAAAATTATCTGGCATGCAATCTGATATCGCTGCATCAACAATAATAAAGCAACGAACATAAGTCACTGAGCTGAGGATATTATAGGTACCCCGAGTAAGCTCATGTGAATTGAGCTCGGTCATGCCCCGCAGATGAGTTCCTGATGAATTGGGATCGGAAGTACCCAATCGAAGGAAACATCTCTCCGTGTCCTTGGCCTTTTTGTCCCCCCTCACGTCGCGTAAAGTATCGGGGGAAAGCGCGGCAATGAGTCGTTCAGGAATCGAGGAAAGGGGCGAATCGCATGCGGTTTCGTCATCACAAATCGGGACAGAGAGCGAATCGATCCCCAACGTATCCGGATCCTACCGAAAGTGGGCGCGAGCTTGCCGACCGACAGAGCGGACACTCGAGGATGTAGTGCTTCACCGTTTCCGGCCCCTATCCGCAATCGCGCCCAGGAGAGGCCACCAGTCGCGGCTGGGCTGCTGGGCTAGATAAGCTTCGAGGCCGATGATGCTGCTCGTCTGAAGCTCAGGACTGACGTAATGACGAGCGCTTACAGTTGAGCCCATCATGGCGTCGCAGTGAGGGTCAACGCAGCGGTCGAGGGTCGTTCTTGCGAAGCGAGTTCACGCTCGACGGCCATTTCTGGGAACATCGAGTGTTGACCAAGACGTCGTGGTCATCCCTGCTTGACATTCGCGACTTGGGGCTTTGTGCGCGCGTCAACGAGCGCAGGTTTGCTCTGCTCCTCGCACTCGCTCAATCCTCGACCGCCTTGTCCGCCGTCTCGTTGCCCTTGGTCTTGAAATGTCTTTGGATCCATACCAGCTCAATCGAGGTATCCCGATGACGTTCGCGAAATTTTCGGTACGACCCGCGGATCTGGAG